GAAAACCACCAAGACCTGATTTTTAGAAGAGAATGCTGTTCTGGGGCTTTCTTAAAGAAGAGATTAAGTCATTACAAACATGCAAAAAAAAAATAAAAAAAAATCTGGCAGTGACAACATTTTCCTCTTTTGTTTTTTTTTTTTTTTTCTTTTTTTTTTTTGTTGATGTTGTTCTGCAGGGGTATCTTCAAGCCACTCTGTAAAATGCATTCTCTGGGATTAGAGAAAATCTCATGAGCTTTTGAGTCCTCAGAAGAATATGATTCTCTCAGCCTCAAATTAAAATTAAGTGGTCCAAGATTTGAAAATTATAACAGCAGGTCAAAGCTTTTAAAAACCTAAATGTAACTGAGAAAACAGAGCACAAAGGAGGAATGTGTTGCATTATTTATAGGTAACTCTGCATTTTTACATTAGGATCAAAGTATTTTTTCTCAGCTCCTAAAAGCATCACAATTTTGTTACAAGCTACAAAGACAGGGTGCTGCTACAGCATAATCCACTAACAACAGCAACAAGAAAAAAAAGGTGGCAAACCTAGCTAATGTTAGAACAATATTTTGAAAAGGGTGAAAGGGTCCTCTCTAATTTCATGATGCCCTTCCAGTGAACTGGAATCTCTCCAATTTCCTGAATGCTGCCATTCTAAATGAGCCTCTCCCAGGGACCTGTACAAGCAGTACCTGATACCAAAGCAAGGTAAAGGCTTCTCAGCAGAACAGACACATCTCCAGGTTTTTGTGATGGCAAAGTAGAACTATGGTAGGAAAGGCATTGCCAGACACCACAGTTCTTTGGTTGGGACCTGTGGCCTCTTCATCCCCTCCCTCATTAACTTTGAGCTGAGTTTCTCCACATATTTGTTTCGTAAAATTTCAGCAGCCTCGTTTCCCTTTCTTTGCTATCTTCTTTTCTTATATAGAGGCTCTGCCCTCTGCACAAGATCTTTACAGATGTACACACGTGTTGAACTTGTACACAGGTCATGCATAGAGAAATTAATCACATAAATAAGAACATTTTACTTTCTGTAATGAAAGATGCTCTCCCATCAATCACGTTCCCTAAAAATAAGTATAACAAACCAAATTGTAATTAACCAAAACAAGCCTGAGACCCAAAGCTCTGACATATTCTACTACTGTAGCTGCCAAGTCATTTCACCGCTCTGCCAAGTTTTTACCTGTAGTAGAATGGAACCAGAAACACAGTCAACTCTTAGTTAAATACAGGTGTTTTTTCCAGGTTGCAGATTAAGCTCTCTTGCAAATCTTCAAACTAAAGCATGGATTGACTCACGCTTGACCCCCACACTGCAAGCTTCAGACCCAAATGAAATCAAACCCAATAACCCTCCAGCACTGCTCTAGCAGCCCACCGCTGCCTGTTGCGCTGTACAAGCTGATGGCCCACTTGCTTGTTTGTTCCTACGTGGTTCAATGGGCATGCTGTACTTCCAAAAGGCAAACAAAAAGCAGCAGCTATCTGGTAACAAGCTCCTCCAACACCTTTGGGCTCCCCGAACTCATGAGATACCAGAGAAAACAAAGGAGTTGGCTGGACTCAGAGACAGGGGTTGTGACCAAAGGTGAATCCAAACACTGGAGCTCAAGAAATCCAGCACGAATCCAGGATGCAAAACTGGAATGAAACAGAACAACAAAACAGCCCTACATATAAAGGCAGAACAGCACTATTTCATTCAGTCCTGAGCAGCAGTTATTAGTCATTATCTCGGGGAATGTGGAAAGTATGTTTTTAAAATTCTGAACATAAATGAGCCAATGATATGAGTAGACAAGAACTATTTTGGTAGGATACTCCTAGAATTTCTGTAAGTGATCACCATTCAAATGCTTCTAAAATAAAATAAAATAAAGTCTAAAAAAAAAGACTATTTGCTCAGCTGGATCTCCCACCCTCACCCAAGAATACTAGAGGTTTTCCAATATTGGTCGTTGAGAACATTTCCAAATAGATGTTGGTAAACTAGTAAGTGTGTCACTGATTCTCAGACAAAGCTCCTCTAAAGAGGCATTTCCATTTAAAGCGTCAATTATATTTAACATGTATAAATAGGCCATGAAAAAAACACCCTTCGTTCTTCATTAAAACACAAAACATTACACACAAAAAAAAAGAAAAAAAAAAAAGTAAAAAGTCCAGAAAACATTACCAAACTGTACCATTTCAGAAAGATGCTATACTACTTCAGATCCCAATTGTTTTCAAAAATAAGAACACAGGCAATCAGCTGAAATTCACTGTATTTCTTGTATGTCCTCACGTACGGCCTAACAGCACTAAAACCCACATTCAATTACAGCTGGTGTGGTATAAACTCCACTCAGCTCTATAGTACTGACCAGGCCAGGGTATTTTCTATATGCCATAAAGTTTCAATGTAATTAGCTACAGTGTAAACTGTAACTATACTATCTCTAAATATTATTGTTAGGATTGTGCACTATTTGGTTCTACAAGTAGTTTGTTTACCAAACAGTTTAATTCAACTGCAAACAATTTACAAACTCAAGACCAACAAAAACATGGAAGAAGATCAGGAGCGCAGGCACCATTCACAGAGACAGGAGTGTAAGAGAATAAAAATTCACGTTGCAAGTTCAGCACAGCCCCAAAATTGGCACTATCCTCACTTCAGCTAATATTTTTCAGTTTTGGAAACTAAAGTGCATTAGCAGGTGAGCAAGGCTCCTATGCGAAGAAAGGATGGCTGTGAGAAGAAGAGCAAGAGGAAAGTAACATGCAGGGTAAATACTTCAAACTTGGAGATTTCAGGAAAGTTTTCACTAAACTTTCTATAGGAAGCAAGTGTATGTGTAGGGAGCAACTTAGCACATGCCTATTTCTCCAAATCCCTGCTAAAGACTACAGACTGACTAATGCTATCAATTGCATAGACTGGCAGAGCTCAAATGCAGCCTGAGAAACTTTATTCCAGTCATTTATAATTCACACCACACGTGTACCTTACCTCAGCGTTCTGTTTAATTAAAAATATCTTCCTTGATTCTGACAAGTGAAGTATATTGCCAAACTCAGTATATATAAAACATTTTATTGATTTAAAAAAAAAAAAAAAAGTAATTATGCAAACCCCTGGTTCCTTACACTAGCTTCATAGGATACCTGATTAAAGGGCTTTCTTCTTAATTAAATCAGCAAGCACGCACTCAAGCATCCTTACCGTAGCAAATCACTTTGCGTACCCACTGAATGAAAGCAAATTCAATATATAAACACACCACTGAACTTATTTCAAGTAAGGTGTTATTATAAGCAGTATGAAAGGCATTTTTAAAAGCTCTGTAAGAAACACATGGACAGTGCTCCTTTAAAGACAGATATAAAGAGAGGTTGATACCTCCTTCCAGTCCACAGATAGACCTAAACAACATCACTATGGTAAAGAGCACAGAACTGATTTTTACTTTGGATGTACCAGTAAGATTAAATTGATCCTTGCTCATTGTACCATATAAAAATCAACAGAAAGGCTAAAGAACATTAAAAAAAAAAAAAGTCTGCAGAGGAAAAGGTCACAGATGCACGTGGAGATGGAGATGGAGAAACAGAAACCTTCTCCCCGAACAGCTATGTACACCTCCACACACTCATCCTATTGTTATGAAAAGTTCCTTATGATTTTAAGGGACAGGGATATGCCAAAGGTGATAGACTGAAAACAAATAAAGCGTATTGCTTTAGCACATCACAAAGGAGAAATTTGTCCAGCTGAACAAGAATTTACAAACCCAAAGGACATGTCAAGAACCTGCCACTACTGCACCTCCACAGGAAGAGCTCGCCATGAGTTCCATTTGCACGAGGCCAAGTTAGGGACATAAATGTCACATTCCGGTAACAACAAACAAACAGATTGAGGTCTTTAAGTTTTCGTACATATGCTTATCTATAGAAGAATCATTTTCAAGGTACAGCCTCGCCTTTCTCTTAAAGGCTTCAAGAAAGCACTGCAGGCTGTGGCTGACAGGCTGCTCTTCACCAGGAGTGCTGAGGTGACCACTTGCTGCTCCGTTCTCCCCAGCATCTTGCACCCATCGCCCCTGCCAGGCAGGGCTGCACTGCTGGGCAGGCCACCGTCAGGTAAAACACAATTTTCAGCGCACCCAGCTGGATCGCTCCCCACTTCCCCGTGCTGTTGCTTGACAGGGAGCAGGGAGTCAGCAGACAGGCATTTGCTACTAACTGTGCCAACCAAGTCCAGCAGCAGCGCCAAGTGTCAAACCACGACCTAAAACTCCCCGAATCCCACCTAGTACCCTCAGCGTGCCGCCCCCCTCCCCGGGCAGGGCGGGGAGCGCCCTCCTCAGAGCCCCGCCGCCATCCCGGCAGCACGGCTCCCCCCCGCCCGCGGGCTCCCCCTACCTGTCCGAGCAGCCTCCAGCGGGCTCTCGCCGTTCCCGCACCGGTCGCTTCTCGCCTGCCCGCGGCGGGGCGGCACGGGGAGCCGGCAGGCTCGGCCATGCAGCACCAGGGAGCGCCCGGGGCCGGGAGGGCGAGAGAGAGGCGGCGGGGATGTGCCGCCGAGCCCGCAGCGGGTGCTAGGACCGGCCGGGCTCCGGGGAGAAGACGCGGGGGGCCATCTTTGTTGAGGGCAGCAGCGTGTGCCCGCTGCCTGTGTCTCCCTAGGGCAGCGCTGCGGGATCGCGAGGGGCGCGGCGCTTCTCCTGCGCTACGCCCGGCTCCTCGGGAGCGCTGCGGCTCCTAACACACCTCAACACGGCTCTCCCGCAGCCTCAGCGCCCTGAGGGTAAAACCCCGAGTGAAACGCGAGCGATGCAAGCGCTCCCAGGCTGCCATCAGCGGCTGGCTGAAGCGCGCCCGGCCGCCATCTTGGCTCCGGGCAGCGCCGTGAGGGAGCCGGAGCCATCTTAGCTCGGGGCAGCCCGGCCCCGCCGGGACAGGGGCTGCTGCGGGGGGCACGGCCCGGCCGCCGCCGTCGTGAGGGGCTGGGAGGGTCGGGGCCCGGCCGGGGGGGTAAAAGGGGTGAGGGGTGTGAAATAGGTGGGATATTTCCCGTGTTCCTGGCGAGTGGGTTGATTTTCGTAAAGTGCCCGCCTGAGATAAAGTGATTCTGGTGTTACGTGGTGCTTCTAAAGTAGACAATAGCCAACTTGCCGAAAACTTGTTCATTTCTTCTTCCTCAGCATTTAAGCAGCTGTGCAGTTGCATCTGCCTTTCCCTACTACAGCTAAACTTCCAGCTGCCTGGACCCACTCAATGGAGCAGCGTGGCAGGTGAATGTACAAGCTGAGCTGCGTGTATCAGCTGTTAAGAAACAGCTTCACTTTTACGCTTCCAGTCTGATCTGCCTCATGAAGCAGTCTTTGAAAGATGAAGTTTTACCTTCTGTTTATATCACGTATGTTTCACATAGTGCAAGTGATCAGGAGTTTGGGATTTCTGTAAATTTCAGGGTGACTGCCAGGAAAAAGATTTGGATATCATGTGTGGGACTGCAAGATCTTTCATCCGAGGGCTGAGCTACAGTGTCAAATACTGCTCTAAGGACAACCATCTTCAAAAAATACATCTCTATAGTAAATTAAAACCAAAAAAATGCCACATCCTGGACTGGTCAGGAAGCACATGCAACAGCACTGTGCCACCTGGAAGCATCCTGCCATGGAGATTCTTTTCCTGCAAGGTATGAAGTTTACGTGCAACCTTAATGTCAACAACCATCCTGATGCATCTGTTAAGGAAGCCAGCCATAGTTTTCAAAAGTCAAGGAAATATGTTCTTCCTAAAGGGTTTGAAGCAGAAGAATAAATACTAGGGTTTCACTTATGTTGAAAGACACATACTTCTGCTCAGCTTCCTGTACTGCTTTGATGTCAAGCTACATTTGGGTTGATTTTCCTGCTGTAGCAATTTGTAAAATAATAATGAAAGGATCTTCAAGAAAGATTCAGTTAAAGTGGCAGGAGGGAAAGATCAGCTAGTATCAAAAGTGTCCAAACTGGTGACACTAGGCCTAACCATGAGGTGGCTCAGAAAAACTTGGCCTTTTATATCCTGATCAGTAAATCACATTTTATACCATATTACAATATTAAAATATAATGACTTCTCACAATCATGTACACATTTGAAAAACTGTACTTTAAAAAGCACTTGGTTTTGTTTCTCTAAATAACTATTGTGTATATCACTGGTAATGTATCACACAGTCATAAAATGGGCTGAAATAATTTCAGATGTTCTGCTCCTGTGTTTCTAATGAAGAATTTTCTAACAGCATTAGAAAAATAAGTTTACTGCAGCATGCCCACCTGTAAACTGACTTACATGCGTAACACATAAATGCCATTTTAAAAGACTGTTGCATTGGTTTATTTTATCTTAGACATACTTTCAGATGGATGTGTAGTTGTTCAAAAATTGTTTCAAGTTAACAGTGTTTCTTCAAAGTTGACCCAAAGGTCATGTTTAAAGTATTTGTTGTAACCCTCTTATTTTTAACCATAATGTAACATGTTGCTATGTCTGTGTCATCAGCATATACTAATGTTTCAAGGAAGGTACTTGAAGTCTTGATGGATGAGAAGCTGTTGTTTTGTTCATTCAATGGCAGTTGACTAACATGGTTTCAAATGCTGCCCTGCAACACTTTCCAGGAGACAAACAGTTGGCCTTCGCTGTTTGCTTTGGAGCAACTGTGGAAACAGTTTGTCACTGAGATCCCCTGCTAACCTCAAAAATCTCTCTAGATGTTCCTCCAGATGTTTCTCCAGGTGTATTGTAATTCCGCTGATATATGCCTATACTGTTGCCACCAGTTCTATATATTTCCACATAAATATAACGGGAATTGTTCAAAACAAAGGGAGAGGGAATCATCGCAAGATTCATAAAAGACACCTGGGTAACTTGCCAAAAGGAGTTGTGGAGGCTAGCTTTACGTATGTCAAAGGGGACATTATATATATACTTGAAAGAGACTATTAAGAGTATTTTTAAATATCTAGAAACCTCATTCAGCTCAGGAGATTCCTGAGCTAACACAGTTGAAGGCTGAAGGAATACTTGTTGGAGAACATCATCTGTGCTTGACCCATTCACACTCTTCCCTAAGTTTGTGTTTGTGCCCACTGTGGGAGTTTGTTTGCATCTGTTTTGCATCTGTTTTGGGAATTGGTGTTTCTTGGGGGATTGCCTTTCTCAAAAATATATATTTTTTTTTTTTTACTCACAGGGAGAGGGTGGTACAATTGACATATCCTGCAATCCCTTTACCTTAACTAATTACAGAGCTTTTTTAAGAGGTCTTTTTTAAGAGCTGTCGTGGTTTGTTTGACATGTGCTTCTGATTTGATATGCTAGGCCCGGGGAGCTCCTGGTCTGAATTGGTAGTGAACACTCATGCTCTCGTGAATGATGCAGTTTATGTCTATAGGCAGCTTAGTAGTTGAAGCAGACATAGCCTGTGAAAGGAGAAGGAACTGCTGCTAATGTTCACATTTCAGATCTCAACCATTTGTGAGGACAAACCAGAAACAAGCCAACAGTTCTTGCTGCAAAGTAAGGATGGGTTATAAGTGTATACAGCTTTATGAGTTTAGAAACATATTATATAGAAAGTTATAAAATGCTCCTTCACGTGACCTGAGCATACTGTAATACGTATTAAGCATAGTTTGACCAAATGACATTTTACAGTAAGCAAAAAGCATTGTTCTAGCAATTTTAACACATTTTTCATGTTTTTACAAAGGACACAACTTTGTTGGCAATGAAGTAGCAGAGTATAGTAGCTCATGGATTGTGCAAAACCAGATCCATGAACTTATTCCTCATAAAAACTGTTGCAGAACCCTTATCAGTTCACTGCTTCACTTTGCTCTGCTCCTTATGGACATTTAGACTACCCCTTTAGAGGAGGTGAAGAAAGAATCAGAACGAGCTGCTAGGACTCCTAGCTACAGGGATAGGCAGCGTAGGGGCATTGCTATGTAGAAAAGGAAATAAGAAATAATACATTACGAAAGGAAAAAGATGGAAAAAAAAAACACTCCTGAAGAAGAAAAAAATAATAGAATTCAATAAAGATAACTGAAAACTAGTTTTAGAACAAAACCAAACATACTTACATATAATCCGTTAAGAACATACATTAAAGTACCCTAAATTTGAAAAGGAGACCTCAGTAAATGTGTTAAGTAGAGTTCATTTAGAATGCATCCCTAAAATACCAGGAAGAATTGAAGGAATCCTTCCAACTGTGGTTGTTCTTTTTAATGGCTTGTACTATTGTAACAATGCAAAGTTGGTTTGTGGGTCTGTAGCTCAGAAAAGATGATTATTGCCTCAGTGTATTCATATTGGAGTACAGATTGCTGGCTTATAGCCTTTGTTTTCTTTCCTTATTTAGCAGGAAGGGACAGAAATCCCTTGCAAAATAAAAAAAATAGCATCTATAACAACACCAGAGCTTTTGTACAAGGATCTTCTGAAATCAGAGCAGAAAAACTGGAATGAAATTTCAGGAAGATACAAAGCTATGGCAAAAAGAATTAAGAAAAAAATAGAAGAATTGCACAAGAAGTATACGTTCAGTTCGGAAAGTCCACGGGTAAGTGGCAAAAAATACAAACATTTTCCATCGTTGCGTACAAATGGCAGTGAAGTCATTCATGTTATAAAATGCTATTTCACTGGTTATGGTGGTAATTTCAACTATTGAATAGTTATGGATAGTAAAAGCATGTGTTTAGAACAGCTTGTCACTTTACGATAGTGTATTTGACCTTAATTTCACCATAGCCAAAGACAAAAAAAGGTTCAACAACAACCTGATATTTGATAAAGAATATAAGACATTATAAATTAGAAGAGCAGGTACAGGTCATCTCAGCCATTGATTAAATTTAGAGCACATTTAGGTTGCTTAAGTACACACTAACTTTGAAATAACCTTTCTGATGCATGTAATTCCTTCTTTCCCCTCTTTCTGTTATGTGCTATTTTCTTTGATTTACATACAACTGTGCTGTACAGAACACTGAATATAGGTTTTCTAAGGACATATTCTGGCTGTTGGACTTGAAACAAGTTTGTTTTGCATTGAACAGATTAAGGTTGGAGAGAGTGTGTACTTTGAGGAGAATGGATGCATATTTCTTTCAAAAGCAGATGATGGTAAGGGATTTCTCTTCCTAGCATGGTATAACTGTTAAAATAATTGTGCATGTATCATCAGTGTACTTCTCTTATATTAAAGCTTAATTGCTCTTTAAAAAAATAATAAATTATAACATTCTTTAACAACTGATGAACAATTCTAAAATCCTGATTCTGAAAAGGTGAGATTAAAAGAGTAAGGAAATAACATATACTGAAACTGAGGCAAGTTTCTATAAAGGAAAGAGAAAAACCACTTCTTCTCAGAGTCCTAATTTAAAGTTTTAAAAAAGGCCTATTTTATTTCAGAGAGGATGAAAAAAAAAAAAAACTGATTATTTTTAGTAAAACCACATACTTTAGGTATCTGAACTTTAAAATTTAATACATTTTCTAGATGCCAGTATCTATACTTTTCAAATATTTGTTATACCAACAACACTTTGGGGAAGGCGAGGAGGGCAGTACTTATTTTGTTCATTTTTACAAACTGCATTTGCAGGTGTCTCACAAAACAAATACCTGGTTCCAGTAGTATGCTTGTGAATACTGTAAGCAGACTTATTAAACATAGGCATTAACAAATACTGTTCATTTTGACATGCCTTAATTAAAGGATTTTATTATTTTTATTTTTTCATGTAGTAGATGAAGGAAATGTTCGTATTTTATTCAGTGCTGAAGATCTTGGCTTTGATGATGCCTTTATTCAACGGATCAGAATTTCACCAGACCAGAGATACATGGCTACCAGCTTAAAAAGTGAAAATTCTGAAGAAGCAACCTGTGTTGTTATGAAACTTGGTGATTTCCCTGTTGTGGAAAAAGTCATTCCAAATGTATTTAGTTTTGGTAAGCTGTATTTATAAATATCCTGTAGATCACACCAACTTTCAAAGCATTTTTCTTAGTCTACATATTATAGGAGTAGTGCTTTATAAAAAGTAAGGAAGTAACATTTTTAGATTTAATCCTTACAGCTGTTGAACTATTTCTCATTTGAGAGATGTGTTCCTCCACACTGTAAAATTACAAGTTATTTGATATGAGTGAGTGACTCCTTTCATGATGCAAGTTTTCCTTCTTTATAAAAGCAAGCGTTTATACATGTTTGAACACTTACTTTGCACATCATTCTTTTTATTGAATTCAGTATGCTTCCTTAAAAATTTACTGACATAACTGTTTGCAATATAAGGATCTTTTTGAGAAATGTAGGTATTGAACTGAAATCACTGATAGCTGTAAGCACTTAGCTTAAAAGTATGCAAGTACTACAAAGTGTTGGCTGGAATTTCAGGCAGACTCTAGGGTGTGGGTCACCATTCAGAGCCCAATGAATTCAGTTAGGGCTTCAGTCAACTCTTTCAGCATAGGTGAGGGAGTTTTACATTGCTCTTGAAAACATGCAGAAGTAAACCTGAATGAAAGAGAATTTTTTTTTATTTTTTATTTTTAAATAGCATATTAAAGAATATAGCAAAAAGAGCGCAACAGATTATACAACGTTCCACAGCTTGTATTTTGGAGTTTGGTAGATGTCATCAAGGATATGTAGTGCAGTAAGGAGTTTGCCTGGCCACGGCAAGAATTTACCATTCTAGGTAATTACCACATATGCAAGCACAGACAACTGGAGTATTTTTATCTCAGGAGTACCCATGGGACATATGCATCATTGTTTTCCTCTAAATGCTTTCCCTACAGCCACATGCAGCGGTGCAGAGCTTATATCCTCTATTGTCTGGCTGACTACTTAAATCTCTGCTGCCCTGCGCAGCTTTAAACATCCACATATCTCCTGTTTTCCTGTTACCTCCAGGACCCTGACAGCATCAAGAGCTTCCTCTCCCTGGGCCCTGTTTTTTTTTTCTTCCCTTCACATGTTATGAGATACGTAGCATTCAAAGAAAACATGGAAAAATCTTTTTGTGGCATACCCCAGCCTCTGGAACGTAGAAGTGTTGTCTTCAGTTCCACATCAGTTGCAAGCCACCTTTTTCAGAATGTTCATGGAGCTCTATTTTCTCTCAGCAATAGCACGTACTGTTCCCAGTTTGACATGCATTTGTCTTTTTTCCAGAATGGGTTTCAAATGATGTTTTGTATTACACAAGTCAGAAGAACCTTAAATGCCAAGATGTGTTTATGACCACTTTCACTAAACAGAAACATACTGAGCTGGTTTATACAGAGCAAGATGCAAGGTAATACCCATCTAAAATAAAATAAGTCCTTTGCATATTCTATGGTATTTAATAAGTAAAATACAACTGGTTTGGAAAACAAGTTCTTCTATACCACACTTCAAATGGTAGAAGACATGTTTAAGTTCTGTTCTGCTATGCCATATAAGTTTTGTTCGGTATTGCCGAATACAGTCTGAGAATGTACTTTTGTCTCCTCTTGATATGTGATCAGCAGCGATTTAAATTTCTCTGTTACCTCACGAGTTCAGCTAAGATTATAAATGTCAAGGTCAGTCTTGGGTCAGGGTGTCCTTTAATGAAAGTGTGACAGTTTCATACAGGATAAATCAGACTGGGGGTTTCATTTTGTTTTCTCTGCTATTGATGTCTGATACATCTTTTAAAAAACATAGAAGTTCAGGCTAATCCTTGCTCTGGGTAATGGATGAGCAAAATCATTGCAGCGTGCCCAGAGAGAGAACTATTGTTGACTGAATACCCTCTCAATAACCTTTCTTTAAGCAGTGGCTTAGGAAGACAAGAGGGCTCTTGCTGAATTGAGTGCATAACTAGTTTTTCGGCCAAGTAGCATTAAAATGACAGATTTGTACAGCATACTATAAATGTTTGTAAGTATTCTTAATTCAAGTAACATATTCAGTAAAGAAATTCCAACTATACATTCATCTGGAAAAAAAAATCTGCAATTGAGATGGAGTAAATCAGATCTTTTATTCCAGCTGTAGTTGTTGCATATTATTTTAAAATAAAGTTGCACTGGCTTGACATCTCCCCACAGGGAAACTGCTGGCATAATTTTGAAGGTCGTAGTCATTACAGTAAATCTACTAGAAACTTACTCTAAAGGTTCATGTGCTAGTACAGCTCATGACTGAACGCACTTGTTTGTGGAGAAGGGCAAGACGGTCTTGTGCACTGCCACTAAGCAGTTCTGTTCTACGTATCACCAACTCTTTTACTTGCAATCAGATATTTTTTGTACAAGCTGACATTAACTTGACTTCCTTTAAAAAAAAAAAAAAAAAAAAAGGCTAGATATATGTTTCATACGTGATATGAAGGCCAGAGACCTTGGGGAGAACTGTAACCTGCATTTCAGATTGATTCTCTTAGAGTTAAGGTCAGCAGAGCCGGACTGTTAGAATTTCTACTGAATGCAGTGCCACACTTGCCAAAATTTGTGTGGATTAGAGAGCTAGGAGGCTGATTCCTTGCAGACTTGAGAACCCCTGCTGTCTCTGTCCTCTTAAAAACATCAAGAGGGTGTAATTAGACAAAACAATTGTACCAAAATAAAATTGGAATTTCTCCACCTGCAAATAATTAAAGACACTGAAAATACTATCCAAAGCTTCCTTTCTTTCACCATTCAAATATTTTGAAGTCTAGAAGGATCATTATTGCAGTCTTGCATCTGATTTGTATAATGCAAAGTACAGTCCACAGCCCTACAGTTTCTTCATGAAATCTCCTGAAGCTGTGTGTTGGAGGTACTTTGTGTAGAAACATACCATCTTAAAGATTAAAAATGACAAAGAAGCTCTTAGGTCCCAAGCTGTGACATTTCAATTAATGTGTATGACTTATTTAGAAATTTGAGTCTGACTTGCAGCCTGAACTTGTTCAATATCCAGCCACTGGTTACCATTATTTCCTGTTTCTACATTTTAGAAGCATTTAAAACCAGTAGAGTTGCTAAACAGTTCCTAGTTTCCAGCTTTATCACTTCAACACTGTCCGTCTTGTCTTACACAGACAGTATTGCTTTTTTGTTTTTTTCAAGTTGTCTTCTTGTCTTACTTCGGGGTAAGTTAAATCAGTAACAGGCTTTTTATCAATTTATCTTTATAAAAGCTCCTACTTTGCTGTTCCCACATGATGTCCTGTATCAATTTTAATTTAAGTTATTCTTTAGAACTTTCTTTTCTGAAATAAGGTCACTAGCTCAATAGAAATTTCTAGGTTCTGCATGAACTTTAAAGCATATACATCTGTGACCTTCCAATCCATCTGACTGATGCAAAAACCTGGATTAATTTGGGGAATAACTGAACTGCTTTCCCTGCAGACTTCAGGTTCCACATACAAAGTTGTTGGGTTTTGAGTGCTGAAATAAATGCAGCAGAAGTGGGTTCGGAATCAAGTGGTCTGGATTTTTTCCAGCCTACTTATACGCATGCCGTTTCTTACCTTGTAGCAGGAAGCCCATGATTCTGGATTAACTGATATGGTTTTTGATTATTAATCAGGTTTGAGCTTTATTATTATTATTATTATTATTATTGCTTACAGATTTTTTGTGGACATATACTGCACAAAAGATAGGCGTTTTCTCACTATCAACAGCAACAGCAAGACAACCTCAGAAGTTTGGCTGGTTGACTGTAGACATCCTTTTAAGTCACCTGTTCTTGTACAAGCACGAACAAAAGGTGTCATTTACCACATTGAGCACAGAAATGATGAGTTGTATATTCTCACTACATACGGAGAGCCTGCAGAATATAAGGTAATCTTAACGGATAGTAAGAGTCGTAAGATTAATTCAGATGCCCGTTGCAGATGATAGAAATAGTAAGGCTGGGTTTTAACGCTGTGCTTTACAGCTTACTGAAATAATTCAAGAGAATTACAAAGATTGCTGCATGGATTCAAAAACTACAGTACTGTCTGAGTCTTGCCTGTAGCATGCTGATTTCACTTTTAATTTCTTTGGAAATGTCAAGAAATGAGCATTCTTTACCAGTTATTTGCCCTCTTAAAATTTAAGTTTATCTCAATAACCAAATGATTTGCAGTGCTACTGGACACACTGAAAGCCCTTACAAGATTTGAGCTTCCTTTTGCAAATGTATTTAGATAGAAATTGTTCCATAAATTTACTTCTACCCATATCAGTTTTCCTAATCACATTAAAACGTTTCAAGTGGCAACTTTCCCTTGGTAGCTAAGACTATACAACTTACTGAGAGGAAATGCCTTGCTGCTCAGGTGGCAGCATCTTGTGTCCTCCTGTACGTAGTGCACTGCTGGGAAGTGCTGACTGCCAGACAGGGAACCTTCCATCAACACCATCCAACTTGCCCATTTTTGTGTACCGAATCAAGTCCGTACATTGTAGTATATAAAAGTATATCAAGTATATACATATATACACACTTCGGTGGTGTTACTTTTTTTAAAGTATTTCCTTTTGAAGCAAAACCCTTTACTAAGGAAAACAGCTTGCTATGATCCTGTCTTCTTTACAAAACCTTTAACACCCATGTGACTGGAGGCTGAGCCAGTACAGGTGTTTTGTTTTTTTTTTTTCCTTGTTTAATAAGGTTGGTTTATGCTGGATCAGCTAGTTGAACAAGTTCATCACTTGGGTTTAATAAGTAGTAGTTGTGCTGGTACAAAGCAAGCAGTGGAAACTCATAAGAAGGAGTGGAAAAGGCAGTCTTAGAGCAGACTGGATTTAGCCTTGTCACCTCCATAGTATAAACCTATTGCTTTGTGAAAGAAAGGTGGACTGGAGCTTTCAGGTGACCTCCCCAAGGACAATTAAAAGCCATTTTAAACTTGAAAGGGGTAGGTTTCAGTAGGCATAACTAAGAATAATTATCTGCAGTTATTCTGAGTTTTTTTTTTTCCCCCTGTATTTAAAGATCAGACTGAACAGAAGCAAAAAAACAACTTCTGCCCTGCCTGCTGTGTCTGTGCAGAGCCACTCCTTGCTCCCAAGCTCACTTTCAGCAAACTTTGGAAGGGGAGGCTGGAGAGACATCAGGTATGATAAGCAGAGGAAGGGAGAGAACCATGGCAGAAGGAGCTGAAAAAATGAGATTTAAACAGAGAGACTACCTGCTTGGATGAATAGGCAGCAGAAGCAGCCTTCATGGAAAACCCCTACCCTGCCCTCTCCCTTCCAGCATACTCAGAGTGTCTTAAAGCAACATAGTTCAATTGCAAATGGAGTTGTAAAAAATAATTGCCATCTGTCACACAGATCTCTCTTGCTATCAATATGTATGCAGTTACTGACTTGTTTTTCCATTCTGCCCAAGTAAAGCAAATTTAAAACCCTCCAGTTTTAGTCAGGAAGAAAAAAAAACACACAATCTTTTGTAATTAAAATGTTGCACAAGATCAGCTGTATGTCTGTAGCCTCATAACTCTTACTATATCTTAGTAATACAAGGTTGTATTTTGTGTTTACAGTTGATGAAGGCACCAGTAAGTTCCAGTGGCATGGAGAACTGGCAGCTAGTTTATGCACTGGAAGAGAAAACTAAGCTAGTAGACTTGGAAATGTTCAGTGATCACTGTATTTTGTTCCTGCAGAATGCCGGTCACCTCTACTTAAATGTGATTTCTTTTGTTTCACATTCAGTTCAATCAATAAAGGTAAGTTTTAGCTTCCTCGGGCAACTTGGTCTTTTTCCAGCAGTACTTGATCACAGAATGGCTGAGGTTGGAAGGGACCTCTGCAGATCATCTAGTCCAACCACTAGTTCATCTAGTCTAGGGCCACCCGGAACACATCTCACAGGATCAATTTAATTCTTTTAAATATAAGATCATAAGTCAAAAAAAAATATCATATAAGATTATAAAGCAAAAGATAACTTTTACTGGGCTTATTTGTGGTTACAGTCATCAGCCCATGCAAGGAAGTAAGCCTGGCCCTCCCTGAGAAGAAAGAGCAGAACATTCAGAAGACAAATACGGTTGCTGGAATAATAAATGGGAAACCTGGGTATTGCAGTACAATTCATGGGGAATATTTCTTCCTGTCTCTAGTTGTTGCTAAATACTTGTGGAATACAAATATGGTGACTTAATTAAAAACCATGGTTTCTGGAGACCACTTAGCTGAAATACTTGATTGATTTGTTTGCCTGAGAAATACTGTCTGAAGAACTTGCAAGTTTATTGCAACAAGCTACCAGTACTGGGTTCTATAAAACTGCTACAGAGAAAAGGTTTTCAACAGAGTGTACTTTACAGTCTCTGAAACCTTTCATTTTTGAAAATGGTCTTAGTTAATTTATTTATTCACAGAGGGTCTGCAGTTACTCTGGAGAACTTTGACTTTAGCTGCCATTTCAGAAGTCTCTAGCACGCTAACTCAAGTAAGCAGTGGCCTGGCAGAGGGTTTGACTATGTCCCCGCTGCTCTCAAAGAATGAATCTTGATTTCTTTTATTCTTAGTGGAGTTAAAAATCTTAAATACAATAGCAGTAAGTGTCTGAGGGTAAATGTGCCAGGAAAAGGTTTTGTTCTTCACAATGGCTGGCACTAAGAACAAAGTTAAGAGGCAGGGGTTTTCAGTGGCTTAGCATTACTGAGCTAACTCACAGCAAAAGCCTAACAACTGACATGGACTTGGCTGTGTAACATGGTGAAGTACGACTGGAAATCAGAGGGGAAAGAGGATATAAAAATTAAAAACCATGTGGAACCATTTCAACGAATGTTTTAATTTTAAAAAATCTGCACTAATGTTCATTTCAAACTGGATTTTAATTTGGATTTATTTTTCTATTTCATTAACAAACTTCATTCAATGGCCTTAGGTGAAGAGTTTACCAAAGTCTCTCACTTTACGACTGTTATATTACTGAATTTAAAAGAAATAACGTAGAAACTGAAGATAATTAGCTTGCTATTCAAAATCTTTTCCTCTGAAGGACACACTAAGCAGAATTTATAGAAGAAGCGTAAGGGTCTTACTTGAAATGCTGTGTTTTCTCAGCTGCCTGCGTGGGCCTGTGCATTTGAATTGGAATCCCATCCTGAACATACCACCAGCACTTGCTATTTTCAGCTCACCTCCCCAGTACACCCCCCTAAGCGTTTTGCATATTCATTTAAAGAAAATAATCTCATTGAACAAGCTGTGCAAGAGGTACCAATTATTACCAACTGTCACACTACACGTTTACTAGCTAAAAGCAAGGTAAGATTTTCCAGTCCTTTTCCCATTCCCTTTATTCTTCCCTTCCTCCCCACCCTTTTATAGAAAATGCATTTGGCAGGGAATAGAGATTAAAAATGTAAAAGAGCATTTGGTGCTATACTTACTTACCAGTGGGTGTTTTCTTCAGTACTGTAGAGAAGAACAAGAAAGAGTCGTGATAAGATTTTTTCATTGATCTGGGCATGCTAGAGCAGATAACAGCACACGATGAGTCAAGAATCTTAGTACAGCGTAACTTAGACTCCCTAGCTGATGTATGAAATCACGTTCTCTATGATAAATGAGAAAAGTATGCCAGCAGTTGAAAAGGACACCCCACAACCATCTACACAGTATAGATAGAGTTTTAACAGCCTGCGTTTAAAAAATTGGTAATGTTAATAAAGAGTTTGTGCTGCAGTAAGTGGTAAACTATTTAGTTAATCATAGATATTCTTAGTGTTAAAGAGGGAAGGAAGACTTGGGTGCTTTGGTAGTTTAAAAACTCCTCAGGTGTTGCACTTAAATGAATTTTATATTCTACATCCATAAGCCTACACAGCAGAGGTTCAGTCTCTTGCTTTATTTTTCAAGAGTGCTTTGTACAATCTAAGTGAAAAAAATTACTGTAATCAAAAAAAACACATTTTAAAATAAATAATTGAAGTTTTCATTGCCATGTGTCATTGAGATTTCTGAAATGTCCTTTATTGTAAAATACTCCTTCATTTCCAGGATGAAACTTTGGTGCCAATTACAGTTTTTCATAATACGAATTCTAAAGAGCTACACAGGAAACCACTTCTAGTTCATGTATACGGAGCTTATGGCATGGATTTGAACATGAGCTTTAAAGAAGAGAAGCTGTTGTTAATTGAAGAGGGTTGGATATTAGCATATTGCCATGTTAGGTAAGTCAAATATAACATAGAAATAAGATTTTCGTTTGTGGGAAATACAGATATTTCTTGATGTGCAACTGAAGAGGTAGAGAAGTTTTTTCTCTGCTTAGCTATATCTTAAATCTTCATGCTTTTCACCTCCATCTCTTTAGAATTTTTAAAAGCCCTTTAAAAAAAATGCTCTGGGAAGAAAATATACTTTTACAACTACATACTGTATTCAGGTTATTTAAATCAACAGTATGATTGTGTATAAGTTTTAATCTTTTTGAAATTTCATTACTTTTCATCTCATCTTCACTCAAAAATATTTGATAACACGTTCAAATTGCAGTATATGTTACTGCCCTCTTCTTCTGTGGCCATTGTGTACTAATATTCAGTGTATGCCTTCTGAAAACCATTTGCCTTTCTACAGCAACAACTAAACATTTAAGCTGCCTCTGTTCTTCTGTTGAGTAAATCTTCCGTTTTTAGTTTAACTACAAACAAATTAGTTTTATAAAACCACTATATACAACAGACTTCACATTTTCATTGAGATAATTCATTAGGTAAAGAAAGGTAATAAAAATATCACTTTAAGGAGGGGAAGGAAAGGGGAGAATGAGCACGTTATAAATAATAGTTCCAAAACTAATTCAGCAAACAAATATATTCAGTATTGTGCAGTTTTTCCTCCCTGTAAGTATCCCTGTATCTTACAGTGCAAGTCAATCCTAGAGAGTACCAAAAATGCAGAATTTTGGCAGACTAATCAGTTGATTGATTTTAAACTTGAAACCTGAATAAGGAAACTTTAGGTAGCTTAGTACTAAATTCATGGTTGTATGTAAAGGAACACAAGTAAATTTAGTTTAAAAAAAAATCTGTGAGTATTAAAAACAAAACAGAAACAAACAAACAAAAAAAAAACAGCAAACCACCATTTCCTGTAGTATTTGAAATTCACAGAAAGAAAAACTTACTGACAGTCTCAAATTTTAAGCTGCACAAAAGAAATCCTGAGCATCTTGGCACGGAGCTAGGAAATAATATTCTTTCACTCTTGTTAATAAATCTAGTGATACCATTATAAGAAAGGAAAATGTTTTAGTTATCATTTTAATAATTTCCTGTATAAAAAGATAATATCATTATTTTATTTGGTACAGGCTACTTTGACAATGACATTTCCTAAAATGCTTTTTCTGCAAGTTCTGTGTCCTTGTACTCTTGTGTCCTAGAACACCCTTATGCTGTTACATTTTCACGAGTCATGCAAGGATTTTTTTTTTGTTTGCATGTTGTGTATTTTAGCTGTAAGGGAGGGTAAAGACAGGAACACAGAAAAGTTATTTGGAAAGGCAAACCATGTTTTTGTGATTCTGTGGCTGCTGCTGTCCTTTACTATCTGAAGCTTTGCTCTGTACTCTTTTTGAAAGAAACTCCCAACTTGAATTATTTTAAATTCCAGGGGTGGAGGAGAGCTAGGCCATAGCTGGCACAAAGATGGATGTCAGCATAACAAACTCAAAGGTCTCGATGACCTTAAGGCTTGCATCATACTGCTGCACGAACTAGGATTTTCTCAGCCAAAATACACAGCACTAGCAGCTGCCAGTGCTGGAGGAGTTCTTGCAGGAGCCCTGTGCAACAGCAATCCAGAACTTATCAGAGCCATGGTTTTACAGGTAAGGTACTGTACTGCAGACATCTTACTCGTTATGATGTTAAACAAAAATACCAAACTAAAAAACATCTTGTTTTAATAAAACTCGTTCAGAATTTGAAACATTCTAAATCACATTCCTCATTTGAAAAAGCCTTGACTTTTGAGCATTTGAGGTCCAGTGTCCTGTTTGCCAACTTTTTTTTTTTTTTTTTTTTAATATTTTTTAAGGCTCCTTTCATAGATGTTCTAAATACGATGATGAAAACTCATCTCCCACTGACAATTGAAGAACAAGAAGAATGGGGAAACCCATTAGCAGATGAAAAATGTATGAAATATATCAAAAGCTACTGTCCTTACCACAATATTAAGCCACAGGTAAAGCTACCCATTCTGTGTGGAACACTACAGGAATAAACATGTAGCACTTGATAGTAAAATAATAGAGAACAGATAACTAGAATTAAAAAAATGTTTTACCTTTTCAAAGCTTTCTACCCCAGCATTTTAAAACTTAGCTGCTTCTTTGTGTTAAAATGAGCCATTAATAAAAATATAAGTTATTTCAGTAATAATCTGAGTCAGAGAGACTACTGGCATTAACCAAATGCCTTCCATTAAATAAGAGATTTCATAAGCTGGTTTTGTTACAGGACTGCCACATACTCTATCGTCTAACAAACCTCAAGATGTAAAATATGTGCTTCATTTTTGGGGGCTTTCTGCTGTTTTACTGCATTTTCCATACTTTGCCAAAGCAGAAAAGAGGTATTTTCCACTAATTAAATATCCTTTAGAGGCAATCCTTTAGTGAAATAGAATATGAGCTATTGCTTTGACATGGTTATATCAGAGGAAATCTTTGTTTGAGGAGGTGCTACCTGTGTTACATAGCTTCATAAAAAATCTTGCTAAATAAAAACAACTTAAAGTGTAAAAAGAGTTTGCAAAAGTAAATCTCAACTACTTCTGTTTAAGGCTTACCATTCCATGATTATTTGGGGGGGGGTGGGGGTGGGATGAGAGACGGGGTTGGGTGGTAATCAGCAGCAAGCAGTCACATATCAGACCTTTAACAGCAGAAATACAATGTGTTTGATTACCTTTTGCAGGCAGATAATCCCCTAATATTAATTAGTCATTTGTCAGACCAAAATACTTCTCCCATTTACTGATAAAAGTAAAATGTTTTTTCAACTACAGGTAATTATGTAATGGATACATTTTAGATGAACCATAACAAGTAGTACAGTAAGATACATGGAGAAAAACTTGCTCACTCAATTGAATAGAAAATCAGTTGTGATGTATCTAACCTTTTTTTTAAACAGTGTTATCCCTCAGTTTTTATAACGGCATATGAAAATGATCAGCGAATACCACTAACAGGAGTTCTACGATATGTTCAGAAACTTCGGAAGGCTGCACTAGATCACGCCGGCAGAACAAAAAAGAAAGGTAAGATAAGAATATTACAGGTGCATGGACTTAACTAAAGCAGAATATTAGCAGTCATATAATTAAACATTATAGATTGACTCCTCCTTAAATGAATTCATATCTACAATATAATCCAGTATCCACCTTAGCTCAGAAGGAGAAAGCACATCTTTCCAAAGAGAGACGGAACATACACATTAAATATATAAACATTTTTCAAATACTTAAGTTAACATAAATATAGTTCATCCAGCAAGCCCCTAAATAATCCTTTTTTTCCCCCCTTAAAGAATAACAGAAATGATTTCAGAACAGAAGGCAGAATAACGTTTTATCCCTAAACAACTCACATCCCCCACTTACCTTTCCTTGTTCATTCAATGTCAAGTGATTGCTGGCTTCATTGTTCCAGGAAATTGGATCCCTAATATCATCTTAGACATCCAGGCAAATGGCAGTCATTGTGACTCATCTTGGGAGGATTCACTAAATGAGGTATGTTCCCTTTATTGTACACATCCATAACACAGTGTGGAGATTTTCCTCAATTAATACTTCAACCTCAGTAGTTCATGCAGTCATTGAATGTACGTTTGAAGTATTAAAAGAAAAAAAATGTTGGAATTAAGGCTACTCTTGAGTATTTACACAAAGGAATCAACAGCAGAGTAAAATTATTGAACCTCATTATGCCTTAAACCTCAAAATAGTGTTAAAATCCCACTGTAATATGCCAGGAGCTTTGAATGAAAGGTTCTAAGTTGTGCAAAACATTGTTCCAGCATGAGAAGTCTTGTACTATACAGTATTAAGAGCTTAATTTAGCCATACTGTTTTTTTTGGTTTTTAATTTACTTACATATTCCTCATGAGTAAAATATATGATGGGTTTGGTCTTTATATTTTGGAATGCATGATCTGTACAGTCAAAGGAAGCTACTACAATTAGGTTTCAAGGTTTTGCACTTTCTGCAAGTATGTATGCTAAAAGCAACAGACTGCCAAGACCTGCTGCATTGTTACTGGTGTCTCAAACTATCACAAGTTTTATTGCTGTTAATTTTCACAAATCCTAGCAAGTGTTAGTTATTGTGGCAGTTATTCCCAAATGAAGTTCTGGAGTAAAAGCCTTATTTTGTTTCAGGGCAAGGTTTTGCTTAGCATCAGTGTAGGAAAGGAAGATTGGAATAGCTCTACAACAATCTGAAGCCTTATAGCATGAAGAGTTTTATTATTTTATAATAAAATATTTTCCTTGCTTTAGGTTGCAAGACAGCTTGCTTTTCTGAAAAAAGAACTTGAGGATGTGTGATATGCCTCCAACATTACATCAAATCCTGCAAATAGCTGATAAGCACATCAACTACCTGAAGAACTTGGTGTCAGATTTTTATTGATATGAAAGTGAACACCTTCTCCAGATGGATCTCTGCTCTATGAGCATAAGCAGACCAGAAATTCAAAGGCAAAGTTGGGCGTGACATTGCTTTATAAATATACAAACTGAGCTAAATTTCTTCACTGCCAAATGGTACAAAAGTACCTGCTTTCGTGTACAGTTCTGTTTATAAGCCAAGTGTACAGCACTATACAAGTGGAGCAGTAGTGCAAAACAGCGTGCTGAAAGCCTAAGGTATAAAGACACGCAATTTTTATGGGCAGCATTTCTAGTCTAAGACCTCTCTTCCAAGACCAAATTTTACACAAGGCAGTAATTCTCCCACACAGTTGTATTTGATTAAAAAGTCTCAGTAAGTTCTTCTAAAACTAATCCCCAGCTGTAGGCAATGATGATTATTGCCCTTCCCAGCCACACAGCAGCCAGAGAGTGCTGATCCTTTAGTGGGGCCAAACCAACTACAAAGGAAAAATGGACTCTTAAGAACAGGGATTTAGAAGTAGAACTCTTTCAGCTGAGAAGATCTGAAATCTTGCAATGGCCTTAACTAGCATGGTAAAGGAGGTGCCAAAGTCCTTCCAGAAGACAACACAAATGAATACCCCAGAAGGAAAGGCCAGAGTCTCTCCAGAGGAGAGAACAAAAAGAATGCTCCCATTGGAGCAGCTTGATGCATAGCTTTCATTATTTCTGAGCAAGGCAGTCTTGCACAAGAGTGCTACTCATTGTTTGGGAAGACAGACGCATGGTACATATTCCGAGCTATTAAGAGCTAAGAGAAGAGAGGAAGAGGTAAACCATCAGAACATTATATACTACTACTATCTTGCTCTTTCCTGTTTCAACAAATACAGAGCCACCCCTGTGTAATGCTCATTCTAAAGTTACAGATGTAAAAATAAATAACTAAATAAAAATGTCAACTGCCACAGGCTCCAGATTCTAAGGAGTGCTTCACTACCAGCAACTGTAAGGGGCAGCACCCAGGAAACTTCCCATTCTTCACACACACTTAAACAGGCTACTCTTTTAGGGCATTTACTACTTCTCTCCACAGACCCAATGGGGGTGTCTAAATAGTTATCATTGTTTATACCATACCAGCGTTTCATTACCAATAAAGATACAAGACAATTAGGTATTAATTTCATTTTTCAGGCTGTTTATTTTGTACACAAAGCAAGTTTGAAAAGCCAAAAAAAGGACAGATTTTTACCCCATTCTTTGAAATCAGCATTTTCTAAACTAACGTGAAAACTTGGTTACTCTACTCTTGCACTTAACAGTTCGCATAGAGTAAATTGAAGGCACTGGAATAACAAGCTTTTTCTGCCACAAAACAGTTGTCTTGAAAAGCCTCCATAGTATGAACAGGCTTTCCTGTTTTATATTCAAGGACCAGGCCTTCTCCTGCTTCAGTTTTAATTGTGTTGGTATTGACAGCTTTACCAGTATTGCTAAAATTGGTACTTAGTCTTATAGTAACTACCGAGGGAAGGCTAGGAACTATAGCTTGCATGTCTATTGTTGATTCCTGTCCAAAATTGAGAACCATCATAAAGACTCTATCTAACCCATCCAGTTCCCTCACATACACGAAAACATTACTGTCATTCCAGACGTAGCACATCCACCCCCGATGAATGGGCAGCTCATTGTTGCGAAGTGAAGTTAGCTCTCTGTATAAGCTCAGGGTTGAGTTGGACCAGGTCATCTGTACCTGCAACAAAGCCAGCATTAATGGGGTTGCTTCTTCCCACTGAATGGAGATGTTACTTCCTTCACACCCACACAGTCTGCCAAGAACACGCATATTAAAGTTCAGTTTTGACAATTAACGCTTCAAATTTGTCTGCTAATTCCACTGAAAACCTGCCTTTTCTCCTGCACTTTCTTGGGATTTGTGCAGTGGCAGAGATGGAGGGTTTTTGGCAGGACAGAATTCCCCTGTCAGTGATGCTACTTCTACCTCTGCAGGTGTCCTTTTTGAGTATTTATTGTTTATTCCGCAGAAAGCCATAGCCATTAAAAGCTTAACAGAATCACAGAATTTATTTCCTATTTTATTTTTTTCCTGTCTTTGAATCATATTTTTGTCTCCAGTTCTCGTCAGCACTGTAAATCAGCAAAATCTGCTTGATCTACAGCTCAACTGCTTTGAAAAATTTATTTACTTACATTAGAGATGGTCTGTATTAAGTTCTTGTTACGAGGATGGTGCTTTATATATTAATATAAAAAGAGGCTGGACTTCAGTTTAATGTTAAAATGATTAAAAGGATGTTAAAAAGCCAGCCCTACATTGTAACTGCAGTTGCTCTGTTTAAATGAATGTAGATGAAGTAGACTCCTTGCTGGTGCAAGGATTTTCTTCTCTCTTTAAATTAGTTAGGATTCCATACCTTTCTGTTTTCCTCCCTGGAGTTTGTTTTTATTAGCTACACTGCCAGCTCCCACTAGGAAGTCAGAGCAAAAGAGATGCATTACAATATTTTCAGACCTTTGGTTTGTCACACAAATACCTACTTCAACATTCACACTTTGGTAGTCAGGGTTAACAGGTAACCAGCTACTGGTGCCTTCAGTAAAGCCAGCATTAACTTGGCCATCCCACTGCATGGGGGATTTCTCTGGGAAGGTAACCTGGAAAATAAAGTGGGTTTAGAGCCGTTGCCAAGAAGTTCCTGCTTTGATTAGTCTGTTAAGAAGTTATCCCTTAAATAACAGGCTCTCAACATAGTCCATACAGTCACCATTTCAGTAGTGTTTTCTCTAGCTCATGTTAAGATGCAACAAGGAGGATGTAACCCTGCTGCAAATCTAAATAGAAACAGTGAGAAAATATGAATGGAGACAGTTGCTGAAACAGAAGAGAACAGAAAGTCTGATAGATGCGGCATCACTGGGTAAAACTGGGAGTCCCCAGATAATTTTAGTAGCCTTGCCTTGCAACAGAAGGTTGGATAAAAGACAGAATATTCTGATGGGTAACTAGACACGCCAATAGGGAACACAGGAGGTAACGAGTCCTAAGAAGAGAGAACAGTAAACAACTGGTAAATGCTCTTCAGTACCTGCTTTCTTGTAACCACCCCACTTTTCACCATAGATCCCTTCAAGCATATGTTCTCAAGGACTACAATTTGGAGAGGATTTCTTGTATTGGAAATAATTTTTTTCTGAAGTGCAAAAATTGTACTGAATACCAGCTTTTAGCTGATTAAAAAGTGTTGATGCAAAAAGTCTGAAGTTCTCACTTTGAAGAATTCAGAAAAATTCTGAAAAAGCTTCCTCATTGTTATTGAAGAGCTTGCCAAAAGATCTGACACTTAAATTTAATGATATAAGAGGGCATAAAATATTTTGCACATACTTTGGGTGTTTGTTTTCGATGAAAACTGTTTTTCATATAAAGGGCACTTTTCAATACAATCTGTCAGAAAAGCAGCTCAACAAAAGAAATTGTCACTTTGCTTCGTGACATTATAAATAACGGGTTTCTCCTTTTAGCATGTTCTGAAAAGCAGGAAAAAAGAAACCTAAGTTTTCAACACTGGTAACACTGCCTTTCATCTTTACCTCTTCTAGTTTTTCTTGAAGATTTTCAAATGCCAGGGATAAAAACTATTCCCTTAGCAAATACACTCCATCTTTCTAAGACACCCATTAATCAGGGATTCTTCCTCTTCCAGACTGAATAAGAGTGGTTTTGCATTGTTACAAAGCCATGAGCCACAGGGTGGCTACTAAATGAGCGTACCCTGAGGAGCCAAGGGCAAGCCACTTTTCTGAAGAGTATCTTTCTGCCTGCAGTAATCAACAGCAGTAAGAAAATGCAGGAGATGCTTTGACCCAGGCATTTCTCAGGGGAAAGATTCCCGAAGTCAGAGAAGCATTTCCTCACATCTGAATCAGACAAACCTAGACACAATCCTGTGCTTCCGTGCAAGTGCTTCCTTCCCTTTGGTACAAAACTTGACAATACCATTGATAGCATCACCACAAGTGTCTCATTCTGTAATAGAGGATTTCCACAGTAAAAACAGCATCTGCCATAGGCGCATGCTCTTAAGGTGCTCAAATGTGGTCATAAGAGGCAGAGCTGAGCTGTTGCCTTTTGGGCATGACCTTTTCCAGCCATGCCAGTATGTCTCTGACAAAAGATACTACAGCAGTCAGGTACGATCAGAGGAGAGATGAGAAATGAATATGGGCAGAATATGAAAACTGAAAGTCAGGTAGGTCAGCACAGTGTGAAAGGCACGGGCACTTTGGTTTAATCCCTTGACCTTGAATAAACATAATTCTGAACATTTCCATCGCCTAACAAAACACAAACATCCTGCTGTGTTACCTGCAACCACGAAAAAATGAGATAGGGACCTGGTCCCAGGGCTCAGGTACCAAAATCTTTTATACCTTTGGATCTAAAATACAAATCCAAAGAAATCCATGTGTGTGGTATGGAAAAGCCCCTTCCACCAGGAAATGGTAAGCAGAGGCTGGTCTGTACAGCCACCCTTTTTGGGGGACGCCCCCTCTCCTGAGCTTGGGCATTTTAGCGAGGGCTGTGGTTTAGGGAGGTGCCTCTATAGTGAGAGCTAAGTAGTCTCCAGGAGACACAGTGGCTCCAGCAATGTTCCCATGAACTTTGGTTTACTGTAAGAAGTCGCCAGGAAATAATGGACTTTGACAGAGTGAATCAAGTAGTGTGAGCGGAAGGCGATACAGGACTCTGTTCCTCTTGCCTCAGGTGACCGAACACACCTCTCAGAGCCACTAGCCCAGGCCTGGGCACTTGCTGCTTCCTCTGCTGAAGTGAAGCAAAGCAACAAAAACGAATCTGGCAGCAGGCAGGGACCAGGATTGTGACCCTGCAGCTCATCAGGCATCAGGGCCTCAGTTCTGGTCTCCTGCCTGGCCGTTTCTGCAGTCCGTACAATGGCTTCGCAATGTGGAACACAGAACACCCCCTAATCGTTGACAAAGACTGGAGTTGGTCAATTAATCAAAGAGTTCTTGTATTTTTGGTAGTTCCATTTCTCAGAAATGAGTAACAGGATCAGAATTTACGTACTCTTCACTTACATTTTCTGAAGCAATGTTCTCCATACCAATTTCTTCACCATAGTAAGTTATAGGAGTACCAGGGAGGGTTAAAAGCAGCATGTTTATAACACTGACATATTCCTTCCCAAAGCGAGATGAAATCCGAGCAGTGTTAGGGCTTCCGGCCTGAAGAAAACAACATTCTGTTAAACAGACATTATAAAAATCTGTGCATACACGAAACTGCTCTAAGACAAAAACCATTTTGAGTGAAATTCTATCCAGAGGCAACAAAATAAACAGAAAAACATATTTGAATTGGCCTGTGTTCACGGTGCTGAAAGGGAGGACTCCAGGGGACATACACCAAAAACCACCACCTAGGTAAGCAGCTAAATGTATTTCATGTGTATTGGCCAAACACTCACTTGAATATTCCAAGTGCATAATTACACTAATGCTACTATCACCCAAAAGAAATAAATGACAAGAGTGGCTTATTTTGAGAAAAGGGCCTTGCCACTTAGAAAGACCTGTAGTGCTATTAGCTGATTTAATAATGTAGTGGGTAATTTTTCCCCTTTCACCTGCAGGTCTGTAAGGTGAATCCTGATTTTGATGCCAGTACAAGTTTCTGCCCAAAATATTTTAGAATGTAGGCGGTAGAGACACAGGGAGATGACAAATCAGCCTGAGACTTCGTTAACTCCCCCCGGTAACATTTCCCTCAGATTTCTACCGTTTTCTCTGCCACATGAAGGTGGTGCTTGTTTTGAGGAGATGACTGCTTTTATACCAGGGCTGGGAAAAGCTGGCAGCCCTGAAGGAGAACACCCGAAAGGTAGGCATGTTTGAGCATGGGACTGAAACAAAAGACCTGCGTGTAGGAAGGAATGTGGTGAAACACCAGTAGCTGCAACTCCATATGGCCCCTGTGTGTTGCCTTTTTCCTTCTGAAAGCCATTATAGCCAAAAGCTGTTTCTAAACACTCCCTTGGGCATTTTGCCCCCTTCCCCAGAGACACAGCCTTCAGGATACAAAACTGCATTCCTGAGGGTCCCATCCGATAGGTGAACAGAACTGCTCCCACGTTACATTTGTGGAAGTCAAAGCCCGTGGTTTCAGTGCACTGCCTATGGCTCATCTCCTGTACGTCCCAACCATGCTTCGTTGCAAATACCTGCAAAGCTAATCCCAGGGAAATCAACATGTGGGGGGGGAGATTTCTATCACCTTAAGAGGAACTATCACCTACGGTTATCACCTAGGAACAGGCCCTTCCTGTAAGGATAAGTCCAGAACTCTTACCGCCCAGTTTGGCCATTTCCCTTTAGGCATGTTTTGCATCCACAAGTTGACGGCTTCAAAAATACTGTTTCCTGACAGATTGTTCATGTTAATTAGGTAGAAATTGAATGGGAAGTCTGCTTCTTGGACAAAAGTTGTTCCATAATACATCATTGTTGCTCCTATGTCTTCCTTTTCATCACCGTCAGAACCCATAAATCTACAAAGAAGTACACAAGCACTTTTTTTTGTCTCAGTCCTGGTTTGTACAGAGCTGAAGAAAGCTATGAACAGTGTCTGGCATTCTTAGAAAATAATACAGGATTAAGAATTACATCTGCTTACTTCGTTCCCATCAAAGACACAGAGAAGCTTAGATTTTGTGAAGCGAGTAATGAAAGATATTACTTGGAAATTTCTGGTGAAAAATCTACAGCAAAAGGCTGTATCTTAATGAGCCCTCTCTTTCCAAAACCACACCCACATAAGTGCATTTTTAGCAATTTCCATGCTGAAAAACAGCTTTGCAGAAAATGTCTTGGGGGTCCTGGTGGACATGCTGAACAAGAGTCAGACACGTGCCCTTCCCACAAAGAAGGTGAGAGTTTGGGACTGCATTGGGAGCAGCGCTGCCAGCAGGTCAAGCAAGATGATCCTTTCCCTCTACTCAGCACTGGTGAAGCCACACCTGAAATGCTGGGTCTTGCGCTGGGGAGCCCAGAACTGGAGAGACATGAACTACTGGAGGATGTCCAGCAAAGGGGCACAAAGATGATGAGCATCTCTCCTGTTAGGAGCTACCTGAACCAACTCACTGTACACTTCTCCTGTACACACTGGGGAAGAAATAGCGTAGCCTATGCACTGCCATTTGCATTTTATAAGAAAAATTTAATTAAAAAAAATAAAAACACATTTTATTGCTAACAAGAAGGTGACAATCAGGAAAAGAAATCACTAGCCCTAGTAATGATTACCTGTACCGGCCAGGTTCACGGCTGTACTGATCCATGGTTTCGCGGAAGCCACGGACGATGTCGTGCATGCCAACTTGGGTGGTTGTGTAGTCATGGTAGAGCTCAGAATAGGCTGTGATGCTCTCCTTAAAGACCAAGGCAACATTCCCCATTAGTTCCCCAGTATTTTAGAATTCAGAACTCCTCAAATTCTTCCTGTCTACTCTTTATTTAGACAATCCACCAACACAGGTAAAATTTTAACTGACATGAGCTTGGCATACCAACAGTAACAGCGCGGATCTGAACTGTGCCCGGGAACCGTCCCCAGCCCTAAGCAGCAGAGCCCACCTGCAGCACCAAGCACAGCGCGTGCTCTGGCTACACGCCAGGCTGGAAGCAGGGACCATGTTGTCGTTGTGGTTACTTAAAGCAACAATATTTGCGGAGCTGGTGAGTTTTGTGTGATCCCCAGCTCAGCAGGGGAACAGTATCTCACTGCCGGCACTATCTGCTAACATCACCGGGTTCACCACCTCAGCAAACAAAACCGGGAGGTGCTTCTCAACGCCTCTGGCCACCTCTCAGTGTAATGTGCTGCCAATGAGGTGGGTTTTGTGTTGCTGTTTGTTTTACTCTGATTCCTATTAGCACTTAAAAAGAAATATGTGCTACTGACTGCTGTGGGGTCCCAAGTGAGCCAGAGCACTGAGCCTACCTCTTGTAATGAGCTCCCCAAAGACAACTGGTAGCCCTTTGAAACTCACAACGCTGGTCTTTTTAGAATATAATTTGAAAGCCAAGTATTTCAAACAAAATTCAAGGGAACTGTCAGAACAGAAATACAAGGGAGTATGGACAATCTTCTTTGCACTCCTACTTGCTTCTTTCTTGTACGTGCTCCTTCTGCAGGGAGCCCAGGAGCCAATTCCCTTCCAAGGAAGGGCTTCCTAAAGCCTTAATTAAGAGCCAAAAGAGTAAAAACATACACTTCTCTTGCCCTAGTAGAAAATACAGGAAAAAAAAAAAAAAGAAAATATACGTTACAGAATTCTGAGACTTGTTCACTTGCGGTTCATTTCGAAGGTGCGTGGCTTCTAGAAGAAATTTAACAGCGACAAAACTAAATCCATCAACTCCTTTACCAAGCCAAAATTTGATAATATCCTAGACAAAGGGAAAAGTGGAGAGTTTCAAGTGAGCCTATAGCATTCAAAATAGCATGTACTTAAAGAGGAAAACTAAATCTACTGTAGGTAACAATATAATAATAAATCAAATTAAATTGTGATATATTTTTTTTAACTAGAAGTTAAAATGAATCCTGTTGAGTTAGCACTGACATACAAATAGAAAATGTCTTATTATTTCTTCCGGTATAAAAAAGAAAGACTGGTCTAAATTCTCCCGTAATTCAGGAGACCAAAGCCAGGGCATGCCTCACTAAGAGCCTTCTAATCTCTTCCATCAGAACAACTGGGATCATGCTAAGCACTATTGTTGGTGAACACCCATCTTGCCTGCACACAATTAGAACGCATTGATTCAAATATGCAAGAATATGTTGTTCTGCACAGACCTTGTGCCACCAATTTTCTTTTTATACAATAGAGCTCTTAAAATGCTTGTTCCCTTTTATTTGACAGATGTGTTTGTTTTTTTTCATTTTATTTTATTTTCAGGCTTATTTGTTGATTTGCAGGAACATGAAAAATTTTAAATCTATAGCAGTTAACTTCGATAATAATTCCACTACAAAAGGCAGAGGTTAGTCACTATTAGTAGAAATATTTCCTACTTCAGTAGCTGTTATAATACTAAATTCTAATTGTTCTGGTTTTCACAAACAACTCTGAAGTTCAACCCCCCTTGAGCAGTTTGTGCACGTGTTCTTTTAGACCAGATGCTGTTTTTTTTTTTAATGTAAGTACAAAAAATTGTCTTATTTTTAACACGTGTATGAAACACACTTGAGAGTATAGGCTGGAGTGAGAACCACTCCACATTCAAGCTTTACAGATTTTTGGCAAATCAGGATTCCACCTTTGGAGCTGTACTTTCTCGTGGAACCATTCTGAAGGCAGCAGCTCTCAATGCAGTGTCTGTCCAATACTGAATCCACCAAACAGTAAATGTTTAGGCACGTACTCATCACAAAAGCAGCACCAGGTATCAGCAGTGCAAATATCAAACACTGACTTGATTAGACTGATTATAGTCCTAACCTGAAAGAAGATTTTTAATTAACGTAGTAGACAAAGATTATTCTTCAACATGCTGGAGGAATCAATGATGTTTACAAGCATTCACCAAAGGTGGGTATTATCAGATCAAACTTACTGGTCTTTGTTTCATCTCTATGCATAAGACATGTAGCATCTATTTGCTACTTCAGCAATGTATGAGGTAGCATTCAAAAAAATAAATAAATAAAATAAAATAGCCATGGCTATTGAAAAGTATGTTTAACAAAATAAAAAAGGAGAAAGATGTGATGTTATGGGAAGCATCAAGACAGAGAGGTTACCAGGGGAGTTTGTCAAGGATCAGTCTTGAAATCAATCCAATTTCATGCTTCAGTTAACAATTAAGACCAAAAATATTTTGGCTTGTTTCTTCATGCACTTGCAACATCAACAGTGAAGAAGGATACCACAGAGACAGCCCATGAGATACTCATACTAGAATTGGGCAGGCATGAAGACTAGCACACAAGAAACACACCAAAATTCAACAGTACAGAGCAACAAATGCCAAAGAACTAACATCAACACCCTTGAGGTAGCTGTACTACTCAAACGGAAGCAAAAAAGGAAAAAGAAGCAGCTGTCATGCTCCCCATCTTCAGACCTACTTCCCAACGCGTTAATGAATTATGCTTTGTCTACTGAGAGACGTGGTGGAGGCAGGCATGAGGTTTTATCAGATCACAACCATTCCTTGGTGAAACATTTCTGGCTGTAAAGGTTACCCATGTCCCTCCCCACATAAAGTGGTCAGAGGTGTGGGCAGACCGAAACTAACTCCTTCTTATCAAGCCCAGACATTCCTTGCATTTCAGATCAGCATTGCTTCACTTCCTCAAAAATGCAAACACCTCTGCTAACACAAGGTGACACCCCCCATTGGGCTGGCTAATTAACACCTCCTTGTATCAACAGAGATTAAAGCTTCGCTCAGCTTGCCTGATGTAGCTGTGCTTCAGCACCAGCTTCAGTGCAAGACACTTGACCATCCATGTCAGTCCTCTCATTAAATGCTGTCCTCCATGCAACAACCAAATTCATTAAATGCCTTCATTGTTGGCTCCTGGTGGAGACTAGACTTGACAGCACACAACTGCTTCCTTGCAGCAGTCATGTTAGATTATGCGACTACCAGCAGCATCTTCAAGGCAAGTAACAATCTTAGGGCTTACAGGGGGAGTATTTATGCTACTGTCCAAGATTTGACCCAGGCACTTCTTGTGTAAGTATGTTTAATTCTGGCCATCCACGTTTGAGAAAATGAGTGGAAAAAATACGTAAGCTGAAGGATGTGTATGGTTCACAGACAGCAAGCATGAACTGCTTATGCATGAGGTTATGCTGAAAAGCAGAGGGCTCTTAGAGGTTCAAAGCAAAGAAATGAAGATCCCCTTCCACTTCCCACTGAAGGCTAAAGGAACTCCTTTTAAAGTGCAGTACCCTGTTCCAAAAATGATCAAGATCTTGCCAGGTGCTTGTGAGAGCAGGGACTTAAACCAGCATAAAAAGCAACAGTAGTCAGGCCCAGAGCACTGCAAAAAACCCACTGCCAGTGCCTCCACTCAAGGGGGGTTTCATTTGGATTTAATATACATATATATATATATATATATATTTTTTTTTTTTTTGGGGGGGGGTGGGGGATGGTGGTGGTATTACTTGCTTTTAAATTAAGACTTGAAACAAAGTAGCTCTGATACTGGAAGCATCAGAAGATAGAGCTTGAATTTTTAAACTTAAAGTTTGTCTAGATGCTTTTTTGTTTCCATACATGCACTGTAGCTCTTGAGTTACTTCCAACTAGATTGTAAATTGTGTAGCACAAAATCAAATCAAGCAGAGAACTATCTGCTTAGCTGCTGGTGCAGCAGCAACAGGTCATATACTTACATGGATTTCTTGTTGAACAGCGAGGTTGCGGAAATTTAAGTCTGGCTGTTCTTTCCCAAACTGATGAAAATAACACTGTTTTCTCACATCGTCAAACTGCCAGCTGGAATTCCCATAGACGCTCACCTGTTCATGTAAGTGGGAAGAAAAATAAACCAAACTCTCAAATTAATAAACAATTAGTCATATGCATAATTTACGATGTGGTGCATTACAAGCACATAATAAAGCACAAAATGCCTAACTGATGGACTAAATTTTAAGTAGACTTCGTTTCTCATTTCCTTCTCCTATTAGTTGCTCTTCCTTTCAGCCAGGCTTTGCCACATGTATCTCATGTTCAATGCCTTGTTTCATTCCTCTTTAAGTAGACTTCTGCTGGGAATTACAACAAAGAGGGGGAAACATGGGTGGAACCATTTCTTTTGGAATTAGTTTTCCTAAAACTGTTGTTAAAAATAGCTTTAGTTCACTTTCCTTAATCTGTTATTGTCCCTTTGAAGCAGTAACCACAGTCAGTGTGTTAAAATGTGAATTTTATGATCTCTGTAATAAAGAATTCCCAAAACTGAGGTGGCTCTTAAGACTCCAGTTAAAAACACACCAAAGAAAGCACAACAAAATCAACCAAACAAAATTGTTGTTTGGGGGAACAAAATTGGGAAGAAAATAATAATCCTACCTGGAGGTTTTAGAATATACAAATTCTTAACCATACACCCATCAATTCAGATTTTAGATAAATGAGAATCGCAGAGTGGTTTGGGCTAGAAGAGACCTTAAAGATCATAGAATTTCAACTCCCCTGCCATGGGCAGGGACACCTCCCACCAGACCAGGTTGCCCAAAGCCCCATCCAGCCTGGCCTCGAAAACTTCCAGGGATGGGGCATCCACAGCTTCTCCGGAAAACCATATACACAGAATACACACATTCTCCTTTTTTCCTCCAAAGCAAATGAAAAAGTAGATCCACCTTCCAGAAAAGGGGGAAAAAAAGCCTAGAGCATATTGCTTTGCTTCGCTTCTCCACAACTAGAGATGAAGCTTCTAACACAGAACAATTTTTTTAATTGTTTGAAGTAGGAACCCCTCCACCCTGAACCAGTTTAAATCTTAACCCAACGCAGCCTCACTCAGTAATCTCAGTCTGTACCCGTGAGCAACCATTTACAGCCCCGCATCCACCGGGACAACAATGTTCTAGGCATTGTTGTTACAGGCAACCTGCAACCCAATTTACAAGCGTCCCTGCCCACACTTACCCAGTTGTTGGGCACAGCGATCGCTGCCCCCGCCTGCATGCAGTCCTGCCAGATGTAGTAGTCCGTGTACTTCCCAGTACGGTTGCGACTAAGCTGAAACCATTGGTGCTTGTCACTTGTGTGGTTTGGTATTAAGTCCATTATCACTTTTAACCCTTATAAAGCAAATCATAAATACATTTAATTCAACCTTTTAAGACAACTTTTTTTTGGTATCACAAGCATTTGGGCTTCTTCAAAAGCCTGGGAGCTTGGGTTTGTGCTCGAGGGATAGGCATGTGGGTTGGGTTCACATAGCCCCATTGGCTGGGACCAACATACATAAAGACAAAAAGCCCCAGGCTACCTGTCCGGCTAAGCTAATGAGGATCAGCAAGCAGGGGCAGCACATCTTGCTGGGACTCTTCCCTGTAAAGAGGGAAGAAAACCAGAGCAGATTGCTGTGGTTATGAACCACTTCAACCAAGTCTGACCAAAAACTCTGATTTCAACATCTCTCTCCCATCTCACAGTTGGGAAATGGGCATCACCACTTCACAAGCATTAATGAACATATGTTCTTCCTCACTCTTCCTACAGATCAGGCTTTTTTAAAACTCTCAAATGCTTTTGGGACTGGCAAACCATTTTCCATTCAGCCCAACTTGGAAGGAAAAAACCTAAGAAGGAAACACCTGGGCAAGGCTTGGGCCTAAGGCATACACGCACCAACCAAGGATGCAATTGCAGGAAGGAAGCGCATGCTTCCTCCAAGCCTCTTAATTGTTTTTCTGCTTTGTCCAGAAAGCAGCCATCAGTAATAAAATCCAGAGCCAGAAACGACTGCCTGGCAGTCGTGATGCCCTTGTGCCGTTGACACGCACTCCCAGACCCAGCAGGGACAGCAGTAGGTGAGCCCTGCATGCGTGAGCACGAAAGCTCAAGATCAGAACCTAATGGCACAAGGCACACCTCCATCATACAAGTGAATATAGCTGTTTTGATCAGAGCTGCAGCTTACCTCGATCATGTATGGCTGCAAGCAGATTCTCAAAATCACTCATTGATCCAAACATGGGATCAATATCATAGAAGTCTTCAGCTCCATAGCCAAGGTCTTTTAAGGGGGACTTGTAGAAAGAAGTGATCCAGATTGTTTTTATGTTCAAACTCACTATATGGTCCAGCTTTTCTTGGATACCTATGTAAAAGAAAAGGGCATCATCAACTCTTTACAAACGACAAAATATTTTGGTTGAAGTAAGTTTGCTGTGGGTTCTCAAAGATGGAACACAGATCCCTTTGATACATTAAACACCCCAACTTTTCACTGATCTCAGCTAGCAGGGCAATCTTGAAATTTCTTCAGGCCTGCAGCAGACATGAGACCACGAAATGGAAACCATTTAAAGCCACTTTAAAGTTCTGCTGTTTGCTCTCAACCCCATACCTAAACTTTTGGTCTAACTCCAGGCTTAGACTTGACTTGAGCAAGAAGCTAACTATTAGTAACTACTAACTATTACAGTAACTATTAGTTACTGTAAGGTAACTATTTTTAAAAATTTTATATGTATATAAATACACACACATGACTGCTGCCCTGCATTACACACAACAAAAATGGAAGTTCACCCACCTTTCAGATCACCATTCCCATCCATGTCGCTGTCCTTGAAAGAACGAGGGTAGATCTGGTAAATAGGACTAGCTTGCCACCAGTCGAGGCACTTTGGGGACAGAGCAATAATGGCAATCGTAGCACACACGAGCACGACAGCAGCAGTGATTATGAGCCAAAAGAGAATCTCCCGGGTGACTCTGTACCGGGCTTGGCTGGAGAACTTCAGCAAGACTTCCTTTGGCATCCCTGCATAGGGCTCCAAAACTGGCTCCTCAGTAGCTTCTGGGTTCACACCAATAATGCATGTTTTTGGCATTTCTTCTTGGCTACTGGTATCGGTCTCCTTGTCATCAAAAGCCTCGTTTTGAACAAATCCATTGTTCTCCACACCTCCCTTCTCACTCAGCTCCATAGGCAAGCTCTTTGCTTCCTCGTCACCCATTTTGCTTGATGTCTCTTGTCCTGGAGACAGACACTCACTACAGCAAGGAAGCGAGCCAGCATACCTTTGTTCAGTGGAATGAGAAGCAGCTTAATTAGCACCTGGGTTTATAAATAATCCTGACCAATTGGTCAAAGTTCAAAGGAGGAAAAAGGACAAAGTGCTCCAGCTCTTTTGCATAACATGCATCTTCAGCAAGATAACAAAACACTACAAGAAAGCACAGTTTTCCAAGGAGCAGTTATGTTTACTGTTGCTCTCTTCAACATCCTAAACTTCTTTTCCTTTCTATAGCAATGTTTTTATTTTTTTTTAAATAAATTTATAATTTATAAAAGGTTTAGTAAGTGTTCAACTTTGCAGATTGGTCCTTGCCTCCCTTGCAACCTCAGCATAAATGAGTAGTAAAAACATCGGCACTGAGAAGAAGGCGTGGGCAGCTTCTGGTCCAAAAGCAAGAGTACAAATTCAGTAGGAAGAAAAGATCCAAAGCCTGCCGTGCTGGGTTTCTCACAGCACGGACTAGCCCAGACGCAGCCCACCCACAGCTCCCAAGCAGCGATAAGGCACACGCCGGTCCTGCAGCTCAGCGCACATTGCAGGCTGCTGCCCCCACAGCTATCCCCAGGCACAAGCACCCAAGGGAGAACTGCTCACTGCTTATCAGCAACTCTGAAGTTTTGCACAAGCAGGCACAGGTTTACACCTCTGTGTGCCCTATACTTCAGCTGGCCTGAGGCCTTCAAACCTGCACCCCCCAAAGAGCCCCTCAGGCCTGTGCGCTGCCCCAGGCACCTGGAGGCAGGCACACCGTGACAGGGCCCTGCTGCAGGCCACAGCTGATGTCTGCCCATGGCCACAGGGCAAATGCCAGCAGATCGTTGTGGTTCAGAAACATCTGCTTTTGGCTTCTTAACCAACTGAATCCCTTAAGTTAGGATACAAAAATGTTTTTACCACGACTGCCTCAAAACATGACAGAAGGCCCCTAAGGCATCTGTGGCAGGTCAGTGGGACACAGACGTGTACTTTTTCAAATTAAAGAACTGCTGGGCAGGCAATGCTGTGTGGCCATACCTTCAGGTGCAGTTTTGCATCTAATTCACCAGCATTTAACGCTCATCTAGTAAACTCCTACCCCTGGCTGCTTTTCCTGCCTTGCATTGCCCCCTGCCTTGTGCCAGGTGAAGTATTTGTGTGGCTGAGCAGCAAACCAGGCTGGGAAATAGATCTGGCAAAAAGCTAATGTCGTTTCAGTCTTTAAACAGCTTTATTCCTAAACTGCCAGGTCACCATGAGGCCACGGGGTGCTCCATGCCAGCTTAGCACAGTGAGGACAGGACAAGGAGGCAGGGTACAAGGCACAAGGCACAGCTACTTGACCAAGCAACAGTTAAATAACACCCTTCACATCTCACATTCATTTTGGTACGTTCTTGTCTGTCCCTGTAGAGGAAGCCCTGTTATTTCCACTTTATGGAGCAGAAAGCAAGGCACACGGCAGTTAGGTCTCACATCAACAGATCTCTGTGCACGTGCTTCTAGAATCAAAGGCAGGGAGAGAATTCAAGTTCAGTTAACAGCTTACCTCGGATCACATCAAATCTGCAGAGGATCAGATTTCCTCTTTCTCCACCCGGGTTGTACGTTACTACCTAAAGCACTGCCAGAATTCAGATTATAAGTTTTTTTTACAACTTACCATTTTTTTTAAGTTGGTAAATTTAATGGTAATAATTGCCTGCATGGCTGTGTGTGTTTGATCTAAAGATACATGGGTAGCTACCTTCAGTATGCATAATTCTTACAACTAATCAAGACAAACTGAATATTAAGCAGTTGAAAGCTACTATCACATTTTGACACTTTTTTCCCCTTTAATTCAATTATTTTCCACGTGCACAACCGTGTTTGTTCTACGAAACCTGCCACTCATTAACTGCCCCTTCAAAATAGCGTCTGTTGTCCTAATGTAATCCATAAGTAATGCTAAATGCTTATTTATACCTTAAGTAGTACAGATTGTGTCTTAATTGCCAAGCATGCAGCTGAAAACAAGAGGATTATTCTGGGGGAGCACCATGCACAAGCTTCAGACATCTATAAATGAATCTCTGTGGACTAATTCAACCTCCAGGTGTCTACTGGACACGCAGAGATACAGTGACACAATATTTTAAGGTTAACACAAAATAAACCACGCTGGAAACAACCAAGTAATTGTCTTGGTGAACACACAGATGTACAGCCAGACTTCTGTGCTTTACAGTCGGACTGACAGTGTTTACGGGTTTCAATCACATTTCAGATTAACTCCACGTTGCTGTATAAGGAGAGCTGATGTACAAACGGGTATGAGCAGAGCACAGACATGTTTAGCCTGGACAACTGGACCTTGAATACCAAAAAATTCTTTTAGAGAACCTGTAGAGAAAGTATGGCCAAGGATCTTAAAGTAGATCCTGGAAGCTACCTAGCATGGACCCTTGAGAAGAAGCCCCAGAATCTGGTTCCTCCTCCTCCTCCTGTAGACGTGATTCCTTGCAGACTGAAAATAGCCAGTCTCAAACAGGAATGAAAGAAAAGGAAAAAGCTCTCGTGGTATTTCTGTTAGTTGCTTTTGTACCAAAGCAACACGAGTAACAAGACCAAGACAGCAAATGCCTCTGGATAAGCTACCCATACACCCTGCAGAAGGGCTGGGCAGGGCTGGTGTCCTACAGCAGCTGACAGCTCACTCCATACCTTTACAGTTGTAATCAGTTAGTACAGGCAGCTGCACTGCTTGCCAGCACAACTGCTATATATTAACTAGATATAAACCACACAGGTATTTATTAGGCCTTTTTTTCCCCCTCCTCATCTGAAGGAGTTACTCACTTTAAAATTATTTGATAAAGGAAAGCTGTAAACATCAGCTTGACAGGCAGATCACCAGCAATTCCCACCAAGGTTTAAGTTTTTCTTTTAAAAATGTATTTTATGTATGCAGGCATTACACTTCTGGCTTGCTCTCAAGCAATTCCAAAACGGTTCCCTCCTGAGCAATTTTATAGTTTAGCAGGAATAACTAGCCAATGCTACTGCGTTCGCAGAATCCACTGAAAAGCATTAAACAGTAGAGAAAACACTTCATATTCTGTGCCAGTTATTCTGTTTACCTCAGCATTAGATAGGGAAACAAAACCAATCCGTATGTGGGCAGTAATAGCTGCTATCTCCACACAGATTGCCATGGTTATTTCTATAAGATGGAGGGGTTAATTTCCACAAGTATTTCTTATATATAATTATTTCGATGCACTGGCTGACTAAGGAGTCTGCTGTTTGATGCTATACAAATGCCAAGTAGCTTACCAGTTATTTGATACCATACATATTACACCAAAAATCATACAAAGGGGTGATTAAGCACCCTAACGCGCTAAGTGTAGGAAGATGTTTATTTTTAAGAAGTTCTCTTGCTTAATGCTTTTTTATTAAATGTTTTGTTACCACTGAAATTGCTCTGACATAATGTACTTCACAGCTAAATATAACTTTATTATTTACAGAACCCAGGCCAGCTTCACACCCATGTAAAAAGGCAAACACTGCAGCTGACAATATTTCCTCAGCGGCTCCCACAGGACTGATGGATAATCTGACCTTTAAAGCTACATTTCATTCGGCATTAAGGAAGTCCTCCCGTGACACAGAGGGCAGCCATCGAGAGTGAGACACTCTCTAGAAACAAATTTCTGCTGTGGTATCTCTTACCCAGGGGTTCCCTGACCACACATGAGGTTTCTGCCATCAGCATGCAGCCTGAAGTCCTGCTAAAATCTAATTGCACAAGACACCACGCCAAGGCCTGGTGGTTATTTATTTATTTTTTAAATGCTCTTAGTCCACTAATGGACTATGTGATTAAAGGTTAATGGCATTATAAACGCTGTAATTACCTACTGCTTGGCTCATGTGATGTAGCAGGGGTAGCTTTCTGGGAAAGAGGCACCTGGCCCCTGCCCCCCATGGGTGATCAGCATGGCTGGCTTCTCCCAGTACTTCTAATGGAAACAATTATCCCCTAATCCTTGCTCTTAGCAAAGCTGCAAGTACAGCAGCATTCAGAGTTGACTCCTTCCGAATGTCCTCCCCTACAGAGCATCAGACATGGTACTGCCACACACCCTTTATTTTAGAAGTAAATTTGAGTGTGCTTCTCTACAGGATGAAGCTCACTCATTCCTACACCCTCCTCAGTCTACACCACTTCCACTCTTCCCCCTATGGCATTTGTCTGTCACAGCTGTCCTAAAGGACACCAACTTCCAAATGATTTTCTTCTCCAGCCTAGTCCTTAAATTTTTTGCCAGCAAAAGACCCAGACCTTGATTGTATTCTTGTATGAGCTAGCGATGTTCAGCACAATATTAAATCCCAAAAGACTGCGGCTGCAGCTGTGATGGCCATAAACCCAAGAGTGACCTGGTATTACTGAAAGATCTCTGAAATGGAAGATTTGAAGTACAGACAGCCCAGCTAGACAGCCCCCAACAGGAGGCAAGCAGATGCTCAAAACCAAGAAGGGACCGTGCTGTATCGTGACCACATCCACCCTTTGGGTTACCAAGAGCACCCCATAAGCATGCTACCTGCTACTTCTACCCATGCCACAGCTTACAATAAATTACTCACTGAACAGTAACTGAGGAGCAAATTTTGGTCTGCTGAACTCTAGGCACTTCCCCATGCAGTCAAAGGGGTTTTCAGGGAGGAGCCATCAGGTGGGGAATACGGTGTCCTGCCCGACCCCACAGTGCTGACTGTGTGTGACCACAGCCATCACCCCACTACACGAGCTGTGATGCTTTTCACAGGGCCCAAGTGTCCCCGCCTGCAAGAGCCACGCATGCAGTACCACACGAGTATACACAGCAGGCCACTGAGCCTCCCCAGAGCTTAGAGTTTAATCCTTCCCTGTCTCAGCCCATCTAGATAGATCTTCCTGCAACTAATCTGCTTTCTTCGTGTACGGCGAGTTGTGGCGGGCATTTCATGATCAAATGTACTCATGTCGTGCTCCCCTGAAGTAACCTCCTGCTGAAAGACATCAGATTACATCAGGTGTTTGCAGTCTGTGTACAGGCCTCACTGGACTACTGAACTGATCCCAAAGCTTTTACAAGGGCTGGCTATGACCAACACTCCACTGACTCCATGTCAGAGCATACCAGCCCACCACCAGACAGTCAGTGTCTAAAACGAATACGAACGGTGGGAAGTGAAACCAAAGAACTGGAAGTATACATTTCTGGAAAACGACACTGAAGCACACCTCCCCCCATTCAGATGGGCTGGCCTAGTGCAGTACACGGCAAGAGCTGGCACGTGCGAGGCTCTGCGTTCAAGGAAGGTGCTCTCTGGCCAGCACAAACTCGACATCAACATCAAAAACATTTCACAGCTACAAGAAGCCCTCTCCAAATAGATACACATACCATTCACTGCAGACTTAAGTGGCAGAAATTAATCTTAAATTTTACATTGACCTGAACATACAAAAGCAAATGGAAAAAAATTCTTATTTTTAAAAAGCTAGAAGAATTGCTAAAAAACACAACACTAATTCCCATTACTAACCACTGCCTCCTTTTGAGAAGGTGCACGGTATGACTCCTGTTTAACAGACGGGTAACAGAGGTCCAGTGGGCAGAAATACTCACGAAAGAGTTCCTAAAATTCAACATGAGACCTGACTATAGTTTTCCCTGGACAACTCTATTTCCTCAGCTCAAGCCTCATTGACTGCCTCCAAACTAACCTTTTCTTTGGAACTGTCTCTAAAAACATTCATACAGCATTTCCTATAGGCTAAGCCCCTACGAGATGAGCCTGTCCCTTCCAAGCTTGTCATTAAATCATCAGTACCAGAACGTGGGATGCAGGACTGCAGGGAGAGTATACGAGCCTTCTGTCAAGGTTCAAAGACCCCAAGTGAACAAGGAACCAGCACGAGCAGGTTTACTGGGAGCAAGAGGTGTGGGGGCAGTAAAGTTGAGTAATTAACCCTGTGTACGCACAGCTGGCTCAGAAGAACCTGTTACTTACTGATAGCCTTGATCTAACCTCATTGCCCATCATCACACAGGAGATCAGAAGCACAGGGGTAGAGCGGCCTGGTGTGAGGAGCCCAATGACTGTGGCCGAGTGCATCCAGAACGAAGCCGGTAAGAACAGGGCGTCAAGTTCCAGTCAGTACCAGGAGGAAGAGACAGGGTGCAGCCTACACTGGCTTAAACAGACTCTGCTCTAAAAACAGTGATAAACAGAAGTAGTCTAAGCAGGTTTTTCATTTTTTTCCCCCATTACTTTTGATGC